GGCAACTTTTGACGATCATAACTCCTTTTGATTCCTATCATGTTCGACCTCTGAATCACCATGGTCTCGAGGGACTCGACAAACCATGATGTTCAGTTAAGTCAGCACCATCGTTATAAGATGAGTCTGATTCGATGATATGCCCTCGAGGGACTAAACCAAGCATACAATGTCCTCAGGTCACTAGTGACATCTCTATGTCGTAGGCAAGATAGCGAATCGCGATATAGGTGAGCCTTGAGGGACTCGACCAACTTAACCTACATCGAGAATCGGTCCCTACCTATAATGATGGAAGGTCACATGGGTCAATCTAATTGTCTTACGTTTACTGACTTAATATTATCGAGAGAGAGAATTTTGATTCGGTCTCCTAATATGATATGTCACACATATACATATTTAATATATATTTACATCGTATACAAATATATATACATATCTAGTAGATGTATAAGCATTTACACATCATATGAGTAATCACACCAGATGATCATGGACCACAACCTAATGTAATCAGGCCCGAGGCAATGGGCCTAATCACTCACATCCAGATCTATGTGTGCAGCAGTGCATCTTAATGCACTGTGATCATTTATCTTATCCTCGTCGGTTTCGTTGGTATCTCGACGCATCTCCATGCATCACGATCATCCATCTCGGCATCGTGGGTCCCGCTATCGCTTTTATGCTCTCGCTATGCCTCCTCATGCAATTACAACTTAATCATAGACACGCAGGCCCGACAATAAACGAGAAATAAAATAGAGGCTCATAGGCTCTAATAATAATAATCACAAGTACACATACATCACATGGTCCATGATCATCCGTTCACATATCATACATCACATATACATATCATCATTTAGGACTACTAGATAATAATAATAATAATAATAATAATAATAATAATAATAATAATAATAATAATAATAATAATAATAATAATAATAAAATTAAACTTTTTAATTAATTACTATTTTCTAAAATTAGGGACATGTAGGGAATTTTTTAAATTCTGAGGGGTATTTCAAAAATTTAGATAAAAAAAATAGAATTCACAATTTCTGAAATTCTGAGGGGAAAAACTATCTTTTGCCAAAAACACCAAACCCTCCTCATCTCCTTTGCTATGCTACAACCGTCGCTACCCTATCGGCGGCAATCGTTGCAGGAGTGGGGGTGGGGGCACTCCCTCTGCCCTGGCAGTTCACTTGCGGGCACCACTATAGGTGGCTCGTTTGCGGGTGCTGTGCCGGGTGGCACAACCCCTTAAGGGCAACTGTTGCCCCCTGCAGGGCCTCGCCCTTGCAGACGGCTCACCCGCCAGCGAGCACCGCCCTTATAGGCGAGTCACTCATGGGCTGTGCTGCCCTTGCATATGTTGTGCTCGCAGGTAGCGCCCGTGGATGGGGCACCCATGGGCTGCCAACCCCTGTCGATCGGCTGCTGCAAGTGTAGCACCTACGCGTGCATCGGCACTGTGTTGCCTACTTGCGATCGACGTTGCACGCACACCGATGGTAGCAGGATACTATATGCGAGGGCAACAACAATTGCTGCCCTTGCTTTCTTTTGCATCAACGATTTTGATGTAAAAAGCTTCTCCAAAACATAACACGTAATTTAAAACTAATCTTTCACATGAACAACCTAGCTTTGATACCCCTATAGGGAAATCTAGGGGGCGACATCAAATGCGCAGCGGAATATCATAAAATAAAATCCTAAATTTTTTAAAGATGTGTTTGTTGTCATGTGAAGATTAGTGCGTAAAATCCACGAAACTTAAAACTATGTATATTAAATATTCTGTTACCTAGGGAGATCGTATATCCCTGAATCCTTGCAGATCTGTAGGAGAAGATGAAGGAAGTCAAGCGCCCTCCTCTCTAGTGGTGATCCATATGGTAAGGCTGCGATAATGCTCCTCAAAACTCCAAGCCTGCTATCTAAGGAGGAGAAGGGGAGAAGAATAGAAGATGGTAACCCAAAGAGGTTCTAACTCATGAATAATTGGTTTCCTCCTATTTATAGAGATCCTTTGTCAAATTAACCCTAATGGATCCTGCCCTATTGGATATTGAATCTTCATCCAATTGCCCAAGTCTCTTAGATTAGTGGATCTCTATCCAATAATTTCTCATTGGCTCTTATTGGATCTCATCCATATGATCCAATAATTCAGAGGCTTATTGGATTTCCAATAAGATAGGAGCTCAGACGGATATCTCATATCCGAATATCTACTCATCATAACACCTACCATATATGTGTGACCCTCTAGGCCTAATATCGAGCTGGCCATGAGTCATACCTGTCAGAACTCCTTCTGACTCAATGAATTATTATCTTAATAATTCACTCGACTCATTGATTGTGGATGTACTAGGCTACTACGTTGCATTCCCTAAACGATACAGGGGAATCAAATCCATTGGACCTGTCTGTCCTCAGTTAGTTATCATATACCTATAGTCCCTCATTTATCTAATATCTCAGAGACCATATACTGGGTATGGTGCTGTCAGACCCATACGGTTTCTGCTCGAGTCTCGCTCTAATTGGATTCTCCTAGAGAACTATTTCTCTCTGAATCCAAATGACCCTACCCAGAGATTTGTTAGAGCAATAATATATGAGATATTCCTCTCATGACATTGAGAGTGAATGATTCTCTATCGACACTCAATAGTTCTCATAAGGTTAGCTATCACTCAAGATGATCGGCTGTGCTAAATCTGGAACCTCATACAAGGTATTCTTGGTGTCTCAAGTCTAAGGACCAGATACACCACTATGACTACGGAATCACTGTCCGACAATAAGGCAGTGAACTCATTCTCCAATGAGTACTTGTACTATATCCGTCCCCACACAAGCAGCTATGAGACCAACTACATCCATCATATGGACAGGTATATAGCATACCAATTTATTCGGCTATCTCGATATACTTTTCAAGTAACCTATGATTGATATTATTTAGGTTTTGTATTTAAAGGCAAATCGGTATTATTATCGTGATCTTATCACGATGCGATTCCCATTACATAGATTCATAGACATCACAATGTATTCAATTAAGTGATAATATAAAGTGATAAAACGTCAAATAATAATAATAAATAAAAATATTACATGTCAAGTCACACGTGTCATTATTCAGTAGTATGCATCGCCGAACCTAATTATTGACTAATAATTAGAAGAAGAATTATTGGACTGGAGTATCAAAACTAATTATTGACGAAAAAAATAATGACGCAATAGTAAAAAAGTGCTCCGGTAGCATACATAGCCGAACCTTCTAACCTAAGTAGTAACAAAAATATTTGAAGGCTATTAGAAAATACTTAACCAATTGATATACCAAATTAGGAATAGCAACATCTAAATAGGGACAAAGGCGTGTTACATTATTTTTTGCTACTATAATTAAAACATTATAAGTCTTTTTGAGAACACTATAAATTATCTAAATAAACTCGTAACATCATATAAACCAATTAAATTATCACATTAGCCTTCAAGTTAGGTATCATAATTGTGTATAAGAAAGGACTCCTTGTAAAGAGGAATGAAAAGAATGGTTAGAAGAATGGTTAGAAGAGCAGAGGAGCACAAGAAGAGTGGAAAGAGAGGGGCACGTCTACTTGCTGCTTCGAACTCAAGAAGAGTGGAAGGTCAAATCCAATTCGAACTGTGTACGAGAAAGGATCTTAACTAAATTAACAACTTTCTAATCTCACGAGCACACTTAAATCAATCTCTTATCAAAGTTTAACCTAATTTCATAACTCGACATATACAACTTTTTAGGAACTGAATCAAGTTGGTTTGACTCTGTGACGTGGATCGAGTTAATTTTGACACTAACATCAACAAATTATGTTTTCAGGTATAAGTTTGTCCACAACATTTAGTAGTCCAAAGTCGTGAAATAAATATCTTGCAATTTGCTTGTGCTGCTTATTCTCCAGAAAATGCTTAGAATCCGAGTTGGAAGCCGCGTTAGCAAAATGCTCTCTGCGATCCGCCCTTTTCTGCATTCAGTTCCCCGGTAAGATTAGAACTGCACTCCACGGTGATGCGATCGTGATCGGATATGTTCCAAAAGTGCTGCATGCAATGCTTTTCGGATAAGAGAGAAGGTAGAAGAGGATGAGACAGATGCGGAGCATCTATTCTCTCTTCTTCGTATGATGTTATAGCAGGATAGGGATCGGTAGGTTGTCGAACTGGTAAATGCGCTTCCGGTGAGCTCTCCAGCTTTGTGGTTCCTTCGGAAGGGTTTTCCTGCTCTGACTCCTCTCTCTCTCTCTCTCTCTCTGCATGTTCATCGTTTCTGTTCTTAGATCCATCCATGGAAGATGTTACCGGACAGGGTGGTGAGCAGGAGGATCCCATGAAACGACAGCAGCATGTGCTGCTTCCTAATGGATCGATATTTCTATCAGCATTCACTCTGTTCTTGAATGTATTCTCAAAGCCTGATTCTTTAAATTATTAAAAACATGATGTAGATTGTCAAGATTTTTTTTTTTTTTCAATAAATCTTTTTGGGACTCCAAAGAAGCTACGATTTAATATTCTTGAATCATGTTTTACTTTCTGTTTAGCTTTTCCTCTTCATGCTTGAGAAAGAATCAACAAAGGCATAAACTAAGTTCCTCCAAGCAACCATTGCATTCGAAAGTCAATGCTATTAAGTAAAATCAATAAGGAGATATTTAATTGCATCATCATATGTGCGGCCGTAAATATGTGAACGTTGGAGGGAAAGGGTATTTCCGATGGCGGATAATTAGGTGTAGACATGACATAAATGACTTCATATACTAATTAAAATATTTTCCACCTCGATTAATTTGTTGTGGGTATGGATTAATTCCTCCTGAGGAGAGGAAAGTTGATTATGAAGGGTATAAAGGCGTAAAGTGCCGGATACCAAATAGCTTTATTCTTGTTCGATTTTTTTTTTTCTTCTGAATTTTAATGTATACGTGGAATGAAGCATAATATTTCCAGCAGTTGCATCAACTGTTTACAGCTTCAGATAATAAAAACTATACACCTTAGCAATAATATGTTCCAAAGCACGATATCGTCGTAGTGGTGGTGGTGGTGTCTGGTGTTCCTGCGGAAGCGACAACTGCGGCTGTGGACTCCTCCCGGTGGAATCTCCTCAGCTGCTCCGAGATGAACGCCTCGATCGTCCGCCGGAACTCCTCCGCGTCGGCCTCCCTCTCCTCCTTCTCCGTCGCCGCAACCGCCACCTCTTGGCAGGAGACCTCCGACTTAGAACGGCGGAGCTCCGGCACACGGTGACCCCGCCGCCGCTCCATCCTCTCCGACCGGCTCCTCCGCCACGCGCGCGGCGCCTTCTCCTTCCCGGCCGCATGCGACCGGATCCCCCGGCTTTCGTAGGCGAGGAACTGGTCGTGGATCTCCCCGCCGCTGGCGGAGGGAGCTGCGGAGCCGGGGTGACGGCCCGACATGGCGAAGAGGGCGAGGACGATGGCGTTGCCAAGGAGGAACACGAAGCGGGGGCCGAGTAGGACGGGGGCGACGCGTCGGAGGAGGCCGGCGGAGAGTCTGGCAGCAGCCGGGAGCCGGGCGGTGGACCAGGAGAGTAGGCAAAAAGCGGAGAGAGCCTCGAGGCAGCAGAGGAGAGTCTGGACGTGGCGGATCCGTCGGTATCGACGCCTGGCCGCAATCTTCTCCGCCGTGACGGGGTCCATTTCGGGAGCTTTTGCTGCTGATGCTGCTGCTGCTGTTGCCTGCAAAGCCTATATAGCAGTAGAAGGGGGAGGGGTAGAGAAGCTTTTTTTTTGTTGTCGTGTGACGCTTGCGCTCGATCTGTCCTCTTTTAATGCGTTAGAAGGGCTTGAAGAGAAGAAACTACACACGCACCTTTATATACGCTTTTTATTTTGTTTGTGTTAGCAAAGTGATGATCATGATTAGATGCATACAATAAGATAATTAAGTAGCGGGTTGGATAAGGTCTCCAACTAACGAAAAGCATCAGATGCCGTGGAACAGCTTCGGGTCCGTGTCCGATCCGACTACGCAAAGCGTGCTTCCGATCTAGCGATGGATCATCATATTCTTCTTACGAAATATTATATTCCGAGCACTTTATATAAATAAAAATATATATATATATATATAATTTCCATCAAAACCCCTAATTCTGTTGCCAAAGAAATAATTGAATAGTTTAAAATCCTGGAAAAGAGAACCCAGAAGATGATGGAGACTGACTGTTGTGGTCAATGCATAGTAGGTGATCATAATATGCTCTCACGACGAGAACCATGTTGATGTTACTTGAGAATTCACATAACCTTTGTGCTCGTTTGTGGGAAGAAACGTTAAGAGTAGAATTTACCCTTCGACGGAGGCAATTGTTGTGATGTGAGGTCTCAGACTTGGTATTCCGGTTCTTGTCCATCGCTTCGTCGCTAAGTTCATGATAACTGCAATCTGATGCTCGAGAAACAAGAAGAATTCACGTCTAATACCCGTTGGTTTGTCCAACAGTATTTTTCCCTTACTTTTGTTCTTCTAGTAGGATGTCTCAAACCTTTTAGAAATCTATGAAGTAGCCGTCAAAAGTCTGCTTTATAATGAACGTCATACCGATGTCATATTATTATTTTTATATATCGGCTTACATTATATAGTTTGATCTAAATATAATTAAATAATTATCGATTAAGAAAAAATAAATTTAAATTGGATACATAAAGTAAAATTATTGAGATTATAGATTTTTTTCTTTCCCTAATCGATAATTCATAACGATCATGTGAATGATAGAAAGAAAGAATAAGATAAGCACATTGTTTTTGCGGATCAATAATATTATAACTTTTGGATATGACGACGATGCGGATCATATAAAAACTTTTTGAGTAGCAACAAAAGATGCAACATCATAAATTTTGATTTATCATTATTTAATTTTAATTTTTAATATTAATTTTTTATATATAAATAATATATTATAATTTTTATGTTTAAACATCAAATCTTAATAGCTAATAATTCATCGATCAATTAGATCTAATGCAATAAATCTTCCATAACCATAGATAATCAGGCCTCTCCTAGTAACAATATTTTTTATGAAAAAGGTAATTATTTATCCCACATTAGATCAGTGGACTGTCATTAGACACGTCGATAACTAGTTTTGTAATAACACCACGATGGGAAAACTATTGTTGGAATCTGTATGTTAGGAATGAATCTCCTTTAAGACAAGACAACGTATTTGCACAGAAATGGATCAAATAGAATAGGATGAGATCAGGATTATAGGTTTCAATTCATCACTCACACTACAAACAGCCAAGCTGTTACTACTGTCGTCTATAAATTAGAATTTTGATGGATTTTACTATCCAAAAATTCAGGATAAGTAATCAAAACACCAGTAAGGCAAGGAAATCAAAGTAGCGGTCGTGTGTGCATAAAGTACAACTCTTCTTTGTGCAAATATAACAAAGAGAAAACGTGTCGCCTACTCTTCTGCATGCCTATCTCCTTTTCCTAAACAACCACATAGTGTGAAGTTTGGTAAATATTTTAATTTTTTAATTATATATTTAAATTATTCAAAAGAATCATAATTAGATTTTAACTCATCATACAATTAGAATTATGATTATGATCAAGGATTCAAGTATAATAAGAGAGAGAGAGAGAAAGTTGAGATAAAAGATATTTAGGATTTATATGAGAGGGTTTAAAAAGGATTCAGGATTTAGGTGTGAGTTAACTTTAGAGAGATATTTCTTGCATTCATTTTTCATAAACATTTAGGGGTACTGACGGTGTCACATCCTGAATTTTTTTATCATATATTTTCACATATTCAGAGCTAAATAGATAAACATCATTTTATTCATCATTTATAAATATTTATTATAATTTATTTATTCATCAAATCACAAGTAGAAAAGTAAACGTAGTGATGTTAACTTCAAAAATCATCCAAGTGGCTCTACCTAATAGTAGAGGAAGGTTTGTTCTTCACTGGAATCCGATTTAGTACTAAAAGGAGGCTGTTATAAAAATAAGAAACAAAGATAATTCAGTAACACGAAGTAAGAACCCCAAAAGTCAACTCAAAATGAATACATGATCAAAATTTAATCATCCCATTGGCGTATATCAGATACCCGAAGGAGCACTTCCCCAACAACGAATGAAGAGGCTCTATCTAACAGGATGAGTTTGTATTCTCCCAATAGCCGATGGAGGCAAACTCATATCACACTCCTAATAATGGATGGAGTTGTGTCCCTCACCCACCAAAGTAGGGACATGTTCCTCCTAACGGTGGATGGAGGAATCGTTCAGCCGTCACGTCTGACGGCCCGTTAATCCCCGAAGGGAATCACCTTACTACTCTCAGTAGAAAAATAACATAATCTCACACTGGTCATGTCTATATCGAGATAAAAGAATGCATTTAAAACATCTCTTTCAAATATCATCAATATCAAATAATACAAATTAACCTTCAATTGACTTGAACCATAGTACAATTGATCCAATTGAACTCGATTTATTAGAATCTAACTAAACCGATCTCTAATCCTAATTTAACTAGTCTCGAATCACCCTAGACTAGTATAATTTAGATTAGATTAGGTTTAATTTAGGTTAAACTAACTTGAATAAGTCAACCAATTCATAATCATCCTAAATCGATCTAGACTAATTAATCATAGTTTAGTTCAATCAATATTTGGGTTCAAATTCAACAATAATATTGGATTAGACTAGGCCAGCCTATATACTAGTCACGTTCATTTCACATGACTGGGCATGTATCACACCAGGTTGGCCTAGCCCTGGCTCATGAACTAATCATGTGCGTCGCATATGACTGCTCATGATGATTGGGATGGGTTAACCTACGGGTCATGGCCTAACCCATGGGTTGGGCTTGCCCTACGGGCTGGGCCTAGTCTATTGATTGAGCCTGGCCAGTGGGCTATGGCTTGACCTATGCGTTGGGCTGAGCAATTTCAATCCAATTCATATTCAATTTCATACCATAACATATATTCACTAACAATTATATAAACAAAAACATAATAACACATTAAAGATAGATCGTGAGATAAGCTTTAATCCAAGGAAATAACCTTCTAAATTCAAATAGAAATCATACTTTCAGCATATATAATTTCAACATATTTTAGTCAAATAAATTTTAAATTATCCAAAATAATACATTTTAAATTTTAAATAAAAATATATCAATAATTTTAGATAACATATTTTAATCTAATAAAAATTTTAATCTATATAAGATTAAAGATAAACTGTAATACTAGGAAATATCATATATTTAATATATAAAACATATAAATTTTTAATATGTTTAAGGGTCAAAGAACATATAAAAAAAACTTCAACTAATAGATTTTAATACAATAATAAAAAATTTGATATTTAAAGAATTGACAATTATTTTTAAATTATAAAACTTTTAATATTTAAAAAATTAAAATAAAAACTAAAACTTTTATTTTCAAGAAATGTAGGGAACCTGTCTCTCGTCAGCAGGGTGTAACTCCTCGTTCCTCTCATTGTTGGGCTCGGCTAGGTGAGGAATGAAGGAGAGAAATCCCTCCCCTTTAATAGGAGGAGGTGAGCCTCCATTAAAGGAAATTTATTTTTAAATTTTGTATTTTATTTAATATAAATTATTTTTATTTAATATACTAACAAATATGATATCACCCTATTTGGAATGCTTAATGGTTATTTCCTAATTCGTAATAGTAAACAAGAAAATAGACTAAGATTTTCTAAATTACAATGACAAGTAAGGAAAAATAATAATTTCTAACTTAACTATTTGATTTGATTACAAGCGATACCACCGCCTATGTTGGGCAGTACCACCGCCTACAGCACTGACATTGAGCAGTACCATTGCTCAGTCTGACGGTACTACCGCCTGACACAGTCTTGAATATTGTGTCAGGCGGTACCACCGCCTAATACAATCTTGAATATTATGTTTGGGCGGTACCACTACTAGACCTTGCTACAAGATCCTGAATAAGTCAAACAATAGGCTCAATTCAGCCCTGATTTAGACACAATTAGCCCCTAATTGAGTTGGTATTGTTTCGCCCCAATGCTGACTCAATTAGACCTAAACTAACTTGATCTAGACAAATTATTATAAGCATGAATTCTATATTATTCAACATGTCATTGGTTCATTCGGTGCTTCGTCCAATCATTCGACGCATCATCATCTCCTTCAACATATTGTTCATTCGACATGTTGTCTTCTTGCAACATCCAATCTCCTTGGCGCAATGTCCGATCTTTTTGGCTCGATGCCCAAACTTATGGCATGAAGCCTTTTGCCGATATGTTGACCGATCATCCGACCCAATGTCCAATCTTCTGACAAGTTCACTCCGGCCCATTCCTCCTACTTTAATCAATTTATCTTTCATTGATCGAAACTAATCCTGCATCACTTAAATGCGTATTAGATGACTAACATATCAATTGATTTCATCATTAAAATATGATATTCAACACTTTAGTCATTGATTTTTTGATACTAGGAGTTTTTTTTGTTAATTTTAGAAATATTCTTTTCTCCTCGGTGATGAAAGATACAACAAGAATATAATGAATTGTTTCGGTAGGTTTTACTATAGAGAAAATTTTGATGGAGGAACTAATTTCATCGTAGAAGATGGTAATAAAGAATGTTGAAGGGATAAGTAAATAATAAAAAAAAAAGAACAACAAAGATTGAAAAGTTGAACGATGAAGATTAGGAACAACTTGAGGTAAAATATGTAAGTACTATTCATTTTTACATTACTAATAATGTTATTGATAATG